TGAGGACCTCGGAAGCGGGCGCGGCGAGTGACAGGCGCCGTAGCCCTTGGCTTCAGCGAACAGTAGGCGCCCCCTCCCCGGGTTTCCTCACAACGTGTCTTCAAGATAATCTCCAGCGGATTCTTCACGGTGGTCGAGTTTCTTCTCAACCGACATCAGCAATGGTTTATTGGGGAAAGGGTTTATTGTTGGGGGAGAGGGGTTTTCGGGTGTTGGGGCTTGTCTCCTTGGTTCTTTTTGCAGGTCCGCTCCGACCCGCTAGCGATCTCGGCTCCCGCTTCCAGCCTTCGAAGGGTAAAAACAGGTCAGTTCTTTTTTTCGTGTGCTTGTTTTTTGCGCTTGTTTATTTCTAAAAACTTGAAAAATTAAGGGGGTGCACAGTTTGCCTGAGGGGGTTTGAATGAGGGTGAAGAATAACGAAAGGGGAAGGAGGAGAACAGTCCGGGGAAATAGTGTAAGGGGGTCTGGAAGTGGGGAGAAGGGTCAGAGAGGGGCCGGTAGCGCTGTCTATTTGGGATCCAAGGGGGTCACCAAGTGTTCTTGATCCGCACGGGTTGTGGAGGGCTCCTGCCCAGGGGCGAAGTCCCCCAAGAGAAATTGTGTCTAGAGAGGGGTTAGGGGTTTCGATTCTTGATCCACGGGGGCTGACAACGGTTCCAATTCCTGCAAGGGAGCGAGACTCTCAAACGGCACCAGTTCGGGACTTGGGGGAGAGGAGAGTTGTGCTACGGGTACAGGGGCGAGGGGGAGAAAGGGAGATACCTAACCATCATAGCGAGGGCATTCAAGAAGACGGGGGTACTTGGGGGGCCTTGGACGAGGGATCGGAGGCCGGCTCCTGGGTGGACCGGTGTCTAGGCGATTTCTCGAACTCGGAACTGGGGGATTATTGGGACTACGATAATGAGTATTGAAGGCCCAAGGTACGTATACTTATCAATCTCACCTGAGAGCCTCTTCCTAAAGCTCCGCTCTTCCCACCCTTTTTTTTTTCCAAATATCCCGATATTTTTTCAGTGATTCCAAGAGAGAAAAGAGGCAGCAGGAGGAGTAAAAGGAAAAAGAGAACGAAGTGCGAAGAGTTCACGATGAGGAGAATGGGGAGGGAGTAGATAGGCTAGCGATTTCAGATACATAGGTGAATTTTGTCTTAGGACCTGGGTAATTCCACGCTTGAGGTGGGACGAGTAGAGGCATGGTACCGGATAGGATAATTAGGACTAGAGGTCGGTTCAGTGGGGGACATAGGGCGCGGGTGTGTGACTTCGGTCCGACTCCGGGGAGAGGGTTGCCACCCTTCCTCGGGGATAACCTGTGTCCGCGGCTAGTCTCTAGGCCGGGAGTGGGGAGGAGTCTCTCAGCGGGGGAGGACAGGAAGGTAGCCGAGTGAGACGGCGTTCCTTCTCTGGTCCATTTCTGAGCTCACAGGCTTCTTCTCCTTGCGGGATAGAGGTGGTCCCTCGAGTGGCCAAAAGGAAATAGGAACTTAGGGAATTTTTCTTTGATTATACTGTATGAGCCTAGAAGCCACTCCCGAGTGGATTAGTGTGTGTACACACGGAAGTGTTGATGTGTGGTGCTACTCCTTTAGGCTATGTATGGACTGGGGACTTTGACGTGGGTGTCTATGTAGAGGAGGGTCAAGATCAAGGAGAGGACTTCCTTCGGGGGTGGGAAGAGGCGATAGGCGACTCCCGCTATTCGCGGGGGGAGTTAAGGAGTTACGGATTCAAGTATTTCTACTCTCTAGGATATCGTACCTACCCGAGAGGTGGTCGCCCGACACCAGTGATTCCGGACGCTTATCTTGATGGATCGGATGGATGGAAAGTACTAGTGGGGATAGTGAAGCGTGTGGTGAGAGCGGCGGATCCATGAGTTTGAGGCCTTTGGAGTTTGAACCCGCAGGATTCAGTGTGGGTGATATAGGCGGGGTGGATGTTTGGTGTTATACCTTCTACTTGTGGACCGGGCACTTCGACATAGCCTTGTACGTGGAAGAAGGTGTAGATAGAGCGGCAGGGTATCTGGATAGCTGGGAGGAGGCGATCGATCACGCGCAGCTTGAGAGGCAGCTGCTAGGGGCTTACGAAATTAACTATTTCTACTCGTTGGGGTATCGGACGTATCCGCGAGGGGGTAGGCCAGTCCCTGCTATTCCGGACGCCTTTCTGGATGGGTCGGACGAGTGGAGAACACTAATTCAAATCATAGAGGAGATAGTCCTAGGGGATGGTTAGGATCCTAGAGGGTACTGAGGAGGAAGGGGTTCGGATAGAGAAGGCTGATTTGAGCAAAGACAGAGAGTGCTTCAGCGTCCCCTTAGACCACCGCACGGAGCGGTACCTAGCCGGTCGCGAGAAGGGGATAGAACTAGAGAGAGGGTTTTTTTCTTTGGGCTCGTTTCGCCGTAGGAACCTGGGAGGGGGACAGGTGGTCCCGAAACAGGCCCCAGGACGGGAAGAGACCTAGGCGAACGGTGATCCATGCGGAGGGAACTATCTACTTAAGTAAGGAAGCCTGGGTCGAGTACGTCACGCATTTGGTCCTAGGGTGGTACCGTGCGGATCATTGGGAGGCACGGGCAAAACCGATTTTGAGGCAGATCTCTGAGGCTGACCCCCTTAGACACTGCCCACCCGTCGAGGTAAGGGTGACCTGCGCGCGAGACGAAGAGTACCCTCGTGCCGCAGGGTGCGTCAGGGCCATATTCCCATCATTTGTTTTCCGAAGGGTGAGCGGGAAGGAGGAACGATACGACAGGGTAGTGCGGTCCATAGTGCGGGAAAAGGGGTGGCAGCTCTCTGTTAGGTCACTCCATTGGTACTATACCTATTGCGTGGATAACCCGGTGCCGTACGGGATCAAGGCTTGTAGGATTCGTGCCGGGACCTTTAGGGAGTCCACTCGGGACCGCGAGGGAGGAAGAGACTACGATTACCAAAGGGTCTTCGGGGTGCCGCAGAGGGTTTTTTAGATGAATGGTGTTCCACGATAAAAAGCAGGGATGCTTCTTAGAGTCCCCATTAGAAGACAGTGAGGCCCTTAGGCTGATCCCTAGCAACGGGGAAGTCCCTGATTGGAAAAGGGTAGAGGAGGGCCGGTCCACGGTCAGTGAGGAATATGTGTGGGTGGAGTCCAAGGAAGTAGAAGGCCAAGGTGTTGGACGGAGCCTTGAAGTGACCGCGGTATTTTATGTAGCGCCGGAAGCCTGGGCAAAGCTTGTTGTACCCCTAGTTCTGGGACAAGGGGGTGGACTGGAAAAACTGTTGCGAGAAGCAAGAGAGGTAAGAGGAGAATGGATAGGCAGGGTTAGAGAGAGATTTGCATTCGTACCCGTGGAAAAGGAGAGGTTCACAAGGAAAGAAGAGCTTCCAAGGTCGAGATACCCCTTGACTTTGAGGGTGTCGTCTTACCTGTTCCCTAGGGCAAACGAGGAAAAGATAGTGCGTCTTCTAGAGAGGGGTAGGAGTTTGGGACTTACCTTCTGGGCCCTGTGGGTGTTGTATACGCACTGCATCGATGAAGGTATTTCGCCGCGTAGGGAACTCTGGGGTGTTTTTCGTAGACTGGGTTCTCTAGAGAAGACCTACACTCTCTCTCCGGAAGAGTATCACACGTGGGTCTTTAGGGCGACAAAGGCCGATGGTGAAGTTCGTTCTCAGTGAAGAAGGGGTGGTAGAAACGATAAAGGCAGGTGACCCCGAGAAGATTTTGATTCCGGGAGACCCTCATGTGACTCTGTATTGGATGAGCGTTGAGAAGGGGGGATTAATCCGAGAAGGGGCATACGTGTGGGTCCGAGCGCGAAGGCTCACTTGGAAGGAGGGTGTGGAAAGAGGAGGCCCACCCGACCTCGGTCGCTTCCTAGAGATCAGGGCGACCATTTTTTTCGACGAAGAAAGGTGGACCGAAGTCTGGAGAGGTTTAGTGACTGGGGAGCTTACGCACTTTGAGTACCGAGAGTCCGCAAGGCTGTTGGCAAACAACCTAGTGTTTACTGACTACGAGGAAGGAACTTTCGAGTCGTAGTCGTTAGTGTCCTTCGCCGAGCCCGGAGAGGTCCCCCGCGCTTCCGGGGTCCTTCACGCTAACCTGCCCCAATTCGTGGCGAGTTCTTTCCTAAGAGACCCGGAGGAAAGGGTAGTAGCGGTGCTTAGAGCGGCTCGAAAATCCGGGGTGCGGGCTAGAGGTTTATTCTGGCTTTATACTCGGTCCGTGGATGCGGGAATTCCCCCATGGAGTGAGCTATCCGCCATATTCGGAAGATTGAGGGAGTTTGAGGGGCTCCGATCCCTAGTCGCGGACGTTCCATACGCCAGACTCTTCGGAGAAGAACAGGTGGCTAACCGTAGGGGTTTCGAGGGCCGATGATAAGGAGGATTCCGAGAACTCTCTGGGCGTCCATAGAGCCCGTAGAGGATACCAGGGAGGTTATCCGTGTCACTCTGCTTAGGACCCGGTTGACTGAACCAACGAGGACTCTCCTACGAGAAGAGGGGGAGATCCGGCGCGGTAAGGCTTTCATACGATTTGTGGTGAGTCGCCAGGGGGAGGTCGTAGTTGGGGAAGCCCGGATATTCCTTTCGAAGGAGGGGTTTGTTGAGATAGCGCGTAGCTTGCGCCTTAGACAGGACCCTCTTTGGGACGCTCGAGCCGTGAGAGGCCGGCTAGGGGAGTTAGTAGAGGAGTTGGGACCTCACGAAGGGTGCAACGAGGAATATCTAGTGACCTATGGGGGTTGGGAAGAGATACCGTGGTTCATCTCCAGCGAGCCGGTAGAGGTTCCCCGTTTCATTTTTAAGCGGGTTTACCCCTCCGAGGCTGTTAAGAAGGCGGTAGGACGGAGGGTTTCCATACTAAGTCAGTTCAGGTTTACGGGGTCAAATCTACACACCTTGCTAACTTGGTGTTTTCGAGATCCCTATAGAGACGATTGGTCGACTCTAGAGGACCTGGGTTATGCTTTTGAGGGGTGGGGTCGACACGCGAGGGAATCTAAGATATCGTGGAGGTACTTAGGTAAGATCTGCGAGGGAGAGCTAGCGGGGTTGGACCCCTCAAACTTGATTCGGATAGCGATTGCGTGTTGTCGCCGGAGGTTGGGGGATGACCGAGCCGGACCTTGAGGATCTTGTGGGGTTGGATAGAGTAAGGGAAGAAGTTCACAAGATCCTTGCTCTGTGCTGGGAAGAAGAGAGGAGGGCTAGGCCCGGGTCCTTAGCCAGGATCAAGCTGCTTGAAACGACCACAATCGTTATCCTCGACGAAGTCACGATAGACCTTCTCTCGCGGTAAGGGGATGAGAGTCACGTTCGTCTCCAATAGGGTTCGTTGGGAGTTAGAGACCTACGAGGACGGGAGCGAGGTTAGGGTCGAAGGGGGTGCGGAGCTTAACCCGGCATTGGAGGAGGGTCAGGTAGTCCGCGCCGAGACCGAGTTTTTAGTGGAGGTCCGACGACTAGCTTTGTGGAAAAGAAGAAACTGGACCACGCAAGCTACCTTCGCGGTCTACATTAGGGACGCAAGTGGTGTGAGATTTTCAAGGATTTGGAGGTTGCCTTTGTTGGAAGTAGAAAAAAAGTTCGAGGAGGACAAGGTTTCTGGGGACGCCACTGACGTCTAGGACACACCTTATGGAGACCCGATTTTGGGATAGAACGGGGGAGTACGAGGAGGCTCTGCGCCAAACTCTGCAAGGGGGCGAAGAGGCCGGTTGCACCGAGTGCGAAGACTCGTTGCTTGAGGCCGCCACAAGATTGGCAGAAGTGAGGTGAAGCTCCTATGATTAGATACGAAAGGGGGGACCCTTACGGTACCATAGAAAGGGTTTGAACGTGGGGAGGGAGATATGGAGTGACACTTCCAAGAATTAGAGGAGAAGGAGAAGTGACTACCGAGTTCTTCGAGATTTACGAGCAAGAGACGGTGGTCAGATTCTCAGTAGCATCCGAGGGGAACAACTGCACTAGAAAGGCGGAAATCTTCTTGTCCCCTGACGCCCGGCTGGTCTTCGCAACAGAATTAGCGGAAGGGAAAGATCCTCTAGGCATTGCCGAAAGAGCCCTAGAACAAGTGCAAAGATTAAGAAGAATTAGCACCGGAGACCCCGTGAACGACAAGGTAGAGTACCGAGGGAGGACGAAAGTTCCAAGGGCAGCCCGCGGGAGCACTTGGACCATCCCTACCTAGGCCTATCGACTACTCTATGCTGACGACGAGACCGTGAGGAGAGTCCGATTGAGGGGTCAAGAGATAGAAAAATTCCCGCTGGGAGAAGGAGGCCACGAGCTATTCACCCAGTGCTGGGAGTCAAGGGAAGACACCGACTTCGAGTGGTGGGCCCGTGTCGGGGAGTTCATCAAGCCCCTGTTCTCCGGGCAAGCTGGTGATGTGGATAGGGATCTGATTAGAAGGTGTGCGCAAGAGGGGATTAGGGATATCTCGGACCTTGAGATAGCAAATCTTGCTTTGGCCGCTAGTGAGGAGAAGAAGCTGCGGGATTCTTGGTGGACGGTGACCAGCGGGGAATTGGAGGGAGAAGGGGCTGGCGAGGATTCTAGTGAGGAGAAGGGGGGATCGGAGGAAAAGAAGAGCTCGAGAAGTAACGGGGGCAGTAGTAGTAACAAAGACGATAGTGAGGGAAGCGGCTAGAAAAAGCCAATAAGGGTGCATGGAGAGTGAAGTGGGGGCTAGCCTCCCTAGCCCGCCAGAAACCACTGAGAGAAGAGGGATAGTGAAGAGCCCCGAATTGGGGGCCAGTCTAAGCAGGGTAGTGGAGGAAATGACAGAGGCAGCGGAGGCACTAGACAAGGCCGAGAGGGGTCCAGAAATGGCTTCGGGGGAAAGGCAAGCCTCGGAGGGGCAAAGGGCTGGCACGGAAATGCAAGTGCACAGGGATGTGGGGCCGCGGGTGCCAGTAAACGAAGGGGTAGCCGAAGCCGCGAGAAGCGTTCCGGCGGAGTCCCGGTGGGCTGACCTAATGGATGCGGAAGCAAGATTAGAGGAAGCACGAGAATTTTCTAGAGATAGACAGGGGTATCGACCACTTAGGGGAGAGGAAGAGGTGTGTCGGGACAGGAGAGACTTGCGAGAGGGGGGGTCAGCCGAGGCCGCCGGCCGGCCGCGGAGATGGGCCGATAGGATTCCGGAGGGCGTCGCCGGTGAAAGGCAGGCCTTAGTGGGGCCAAGAACTGACACGGAAAAGCGAATGCCTGCGCGGGAAGGGATGATCGAGGGCTCGAGAGGCCTCCCTACAGAATCTCGGTGGGGGGATTTATAGGGCGCAAGAATGGGAGAAGCCCTGGAATTTCCAAGAGATAGGGGAGGGTACCGACCACTCCAGAGAGAAGAGGAAGGGGGACCAAGTAGAAGGGGTCTTAGAGAAGAAAGGCCGGCGAAGGCTGGTAGTAGGTCGTGTAGATGGGCCGATGTGGCTTGGGCACCTGGCGAGATAACGGGCAGGAGTCAAGGGATGGAGGCCCGGAGGAGTTTTAGAGGGCAGGACCACGCTCGGTGGGAAGCGGATTGGCCGGATGAGCGGGGCCGCTACGAGGAAGACCCTTGGGAGCCATCAAGACCTCGAGGCCAGGTAGAGGAGCCCGATCCCTCGTGGTACAAACCATACGATCCGGCCACCGATGGACGTATGGAAGACCCTTATTTTCGTCGATATGACGACCGACGGGTGCCCTATTATGACGTCAACCTGGGTCAGGAGGCGCTTTTTTTCGATGGACGAGATGTGACTGGGTTCATGGAAAAGTGGGAAAGCTACGCTTACCGCAAGAGATTCTCCGAGAGGAAGTGGATCGATTATTTCACCCAACACTCAGACCCCGAGCTAGACACCGCGATCCGAGCTATCTACCCTTCAGACGGACGATGGAGGACCTTTCGGGCAAGCTTATTGCAGACTTTCGCCTGTGATGACCTGATCCCGACCGTGGAGGGCTTGAGACGTATTACAAGGGGGGAAAGGGAGAGCTTGGTGGCCTTTATCCGTAGGTTCAAGCGTCTATCCCAAGCCCTAGTGGATAGGGGCATGCTGTCGGAAGTAGACAGGTGCGTAATGTTCATGCTGCATCTGCCTGAAGAAAAGAGGAAGGAGGTCCTTGAGAAGGCCCCGAGGGATTCTGCAAATTTCGAGAAAGTAGCCGAGGTGGTTTTCACAGGTGGAGGGGTAGACGTAAGAGAATACATGAAAGAGACCTTGGACATGGCTCTCCGCAACATGCGAGGGACACGGAATGATGGTCCGAGGGGGAACGATAAACCGCCACCTTGTCCCCCTATTCCCCGGTGGGGTGAACGGCCGACCGGATGGAGAAACGAATCAAGTGGCCAAGGAGGTTGGAGGAACGACCGGGAGATGGGAGGGAATCGTGGTTCCGATTGGGGAAGTTTCCATTGGAAGGATGCTAGGGATGAAAGGTGGGGAGACGCCCCTCAAGCTAGGGCCCCTGGGCTGCGACCGGAGGTTAGAGCGCCACCACCCTCGGCACCACCACCACCGGCTCCGCCTGCGCCCATAGCGACGACAGCACAAGGGGATCCGCGCTCCAACAATCCCCAAGCTCAGGTCGGGTGTGTCTACTGCAACGAAGAAAACCACATCAAAAGGGACTGCCCTTATCTCACAGAGGCTTTGAGATTGGGAGTGGTCAAGCTGAATGAAAACAAGTGGGTTGTGTGGGGGGATAGCGGCGAGGCAGTCTCCTTTTACCCATCGATGAAGGTAAACGTGGACAAAAGGGTGGCTCTTTAGGAGGCTAGACTAGGAAAGAAACCGGAAGTTGGAAGCTCCTCCAACACTGCTCACATCCAAATGGTGGAGTCACCGGGAAGGCTGTCCATTAGGGAACCCCAAGTATCGAGCATCAAGTTCATAGACATACAAGCCGAGAAGGAGAGGCCCTGCCTAAGGCTGAGGACGCAGGTCGGGGCCGAGACATCCGAGAACCAAGCAAGCGTGACGGAAAAGACGGAAGTGAAAGGCGGCGACAATGACCAGCCTATGACCGATGCGAAAACGGTGGAGGAAAAGAAGGAGGAGCCCGCATCGCCAAATCGCCTAAGAAAAGAGGACCCAAAAAGTTCGAAATGAAGTGCACTTTGGATGAGATAGACACAGTAGCACCTCTTAGGAGGACTCTGATGCATCCCATGCAGTGCACCCTTTTAGAATATCTAGCCGCGAGCAAAAGTGCCATGGAGGAACTCCTAAGCATTACTAGGAAGGTTAGAGTCCCGATCATTGGGGGACCCACGGTACCGGTGGAAGCCCAGGCCAAGGAAGGAGTGCAGACTTCCCGCATTACCCTGGAGGAACTACCGGCCAACTTCTTCTCGGGGGAAGAGACCAAGAAGTTCTATGTGCTAGGTAGCGGCCAGCTCCAGGCGGTAGTAAGTGGGAAAAAGATGAGGGCTCTAGTAGACAATGGGTCCAAGTCTACGGTATGTAGGGACTCCATCGCTCGAGAGTTGGGCTTGGAGATAGATCGAGGGGTGGCGATGTCGATGGTGGTGTCAGACAACAAGCTGCAACCGGCAAAAGGAGTGTGTCATAGTCCCATGATTGAGGTAGCGGGTGTAGAGGTCACGGTTCCGATCTTTTCGGTGAAAGAATGCTCTTCCAAATTGATCCTCGGAAGGACCTGGCTGAGCGCGGTACACGCAACCACAGTTGATTTGCCGGATGGAAGTCAAACTCTCTCGATCCAAAGTCCTGATGGAATCCGAGTGGTCCTAAAGACCGTAGACGCGCAAGATGAACGTAACCGGACCAGCCTTACTAAGCGCAAGGGGGCCCAGTCGAGGGAGCGTCGAGTCCGTCTAGAGGAAGTGCCCCTGACAGATAGGGGACCCAAGGGGGACCAATTAGAGATTGAGGACGTGGGGGATAGGATTGTGATTAACGGTATGGGGTACGAGAAGGAGGACGAGGAGGAGGAGTTCGGTGGGTTTCAGTTTGTCTTTTTTGGAGGGATCCCCCTAGCCGGTGGAGTTAAGAAGCACAAAACCGTGGCGGAGAAAGTAAAACCCGCCGCGGTCAGCCGGGATAGAACGGGGGAAGTTACGATGTCGGAAGAGGAGATAGCCGATATCATCAGGACGAGGAAAGAGACGGAGGGGCAAAGGATAACGGCCAATAGACTGGCCAAAATGGATATAGGAGATGGGAATCTCACGGAGGAAGAAAAAGAATTCATAGCAATGACCTTAAGAGGCTGCGATAAGGCTATAGCCTTTGACGACTCGGAGAGAGGGAGAATCGACCCAAGGTATGTTAAGCCTGCCCGGATCCACACGGTCCCGCACGTCCCTTGGAAGGATAGGCCTCAATGGAAATATGCTCAAAAGGAGAAAGAAGAGATAGTGGCCTTCATCAAGGAAAAGATCAGGACATTCGTCGCGGAGCCTTGCGAGAGTGCCTACTCCAATGAGTGGTTCTTTTTAAGAAAGGGAGGTAGCAACAAACTAAGATGGATCCAGAACCTCCAGAGGACCAATGCAGTCACTGTAAGAGACGTAGGGTCTATACCTGAAGCCGACTTGCTAGCGGAAGGGTCAGCGGGTCGCTCAATATACTCTATTTGCGATCTCTTCTCAGGGTACGACGAGATTCTCTTAGATTACCGGGACAGGCACATGACCGTCATGCATACACCCTTAGGGCTGGTTCAAATGATGGTGGTACCGATGGGTTGGACAAATGGGGTAGCCGTGTTCCAAAGGGCCATGATCGAGATCCTCAAGGAATTCATACCGAAGAAGGTGGAGGTCTTCCAGGATGATTTCCCAATAAAAGGGCCGGTCGAGCGGGATGAGACAGAGGTTTTCCCTGGGGTTAGAAAGTTTGTGGCCGACCAGATGAAAGATGTCAGGGACATCCTTGAGAAACCAGACGATGCCAACCTCACGGTAAGTGGGACTAAGAGTCGTCGGGGCGTATCCTCCATCAAGATATTAGGGTTCATTTGCGATAAGGAGGGGCGGAGGCCCGACCCCGAGAAATTAGTAAGGTTGATGACTTGGCCATCACCGCTAAAATCCGTAACAGAGGTCCGACAGTTTCTAGGGGTTGTGGGCTATTAGAGAATCTTCATAAAAGCCTATGGGGGAAAAGTGGAACCCCTGAGAAGACTCCTCAGGAAATCGGAAGGATGTTTGGGGAGAAGAACAAACGGCGGCCATAGAAGCCTTGAAGGGGGAGTTTCGCGAAGGTGGAGAGGTCTTAGGAGTCCCGTTTTTCGAAGACGAAGAGAGTCGGTCGTTTATAGTATCCACGGACGCTGGACCTCACTCAATGGGGGGCCTCCTGTCGCAAAAGGATGGGGAAGGGAGAGAGAGGCCGTTGTGATTCGAGAGCCGGACCTCGAACCCCGCAGAGAGAAATTATAGCCAATTCAAGAAGGAAGTGTTGGGGGTACTGCACTGCCTAAAAGCCTTCCGTCACTACCTGTACGGACGACGATTTCTCCTAAGGGTGGACCCGACAGCAGTGGCCGCTGTCCTCCAAAAGGTTTTCTCGCTGACGGATCCGACCATCGCGCGCTGGATGATTCATATTAGGCGTTACGACTATAGGGTCGAGAGGATATCGGGGACCAAGAACCAGGTCGCGGACGGGTTGTCCCAGCTTCCCATTCGTGAGGAAGACTTGCCTAGACTTAAGGAGGAAGAGGCGACGACAGCCAAAGGAGAGATGATGAAAGTCTCCGCTAATAGGGCGCAAGTGGCTGGAAGCAGTCGAGGGGAAGAAGAGGGTCCAAGGACTTTTCTCGCAAATCTCTACGACGAGAAGTACCGAGACATAGGGTTGTACTTGGCCGGTAGGGAAACAAGGACTGAAAGAATCCAGCAAGAAGCACTGGGGTATTGCCTAAGGGGAGGCCACCTCTTCAAAAGGTCCACCAAGTTTGCTATACCCATGAGGGTGCTACGCGATTCGGAAGAGAGAAGGGCGGTTATAGAAGAGTTACACGATGGGGTTGTTGGAGGTCACAGGGGGGTAAAGGGTACTTTCGACAAGGTCCGTAGGCTTTATTGGTGGGACGGACAATACACAGAAGTAGAGAAGTACTGTTTGACGTGTGAGGCTTGCCAGAAGAGGGCGACGATCCGATACAAAGAACCCTTAGTTTCATCGCTTCCCATGATTCCGGGTGAGAAGGTCCACGTAGATTTGATAACCATGCCAAAAGGGGTCGGCGGACTACGGTATATAATCAACGCCCGGGATGACCTCACGGGATTCGTAGAAGCGAAGGCCATTAAAAAGAAGACGACGGAGGAGGTAAGTGAATTTCTCCTTGAATATATCGCACACTATGGGTGTGTGGGAAGATGGTCATGGACAGGGGAGCAGAGTTCTTGAGTCAGAAGGTAAAAGGGTTGTTGGAGAAGGCAGGCATAGGGGCAGCCTATACGACCGCCTATCACCCCCAAAGCAATGCACCAATAGAAAGGGGCCACCAGACACTTGTGGACGCCCTGGCAAAGTGGTGCAAGAGTCGCGCGGAGCAATGACCTAAGTATTTACGATACGCAGTTTGGGCAGACAACATCACGGTCAAATCGAGTACTGGGTACCCTCCTTACACCCTTTGGTTCGACAGGCATTGTACCCTACCCATTGAGTTCCACATTGACACTTGGACAAGTGTCTCATGGAAAACCAACATGTCTAGGGGTGAGCTATTGGAAGCACGGATACAGCAGATAGCCGAGAACTTGGATGTCGGGGTAGCCACGGCCAGCGAGAACATCGAGAGAGAAAGGGTGAAAGGGAAAGATAGGTGGGACAAAAATTTGCGGGTCCGAAAGGCGCCGATAGGGATTAACGACCTAGTGCTGATGTACGATTCGTCGCTGGAAAAGACCTGGAGCCAAAAATTGGCGAACCGGTGGATGGGACCGTATAAGGTCCTAAAGAGGTTGGATGGGGGGGCTTATATGCTCGCTGAATTATACAGGAGTAGGCTACGGGACCCTATCGCAGGGGCTCGTCTCAAAATCTTCCGATCGAGAGGGACCCTTGGGGAAGAGCCGAAACAAAAAGGGAAGGAAGTGCTCGAAGCAGAACTGACCATCACTGGTGAAAAGGGGGAGACCTCCAGATAAGGCGCCTCGTCTCGCCCAACCAGGAAAGGGTATAAGGTTCGGAAGCCTTCGCTACCAAAGACCCCTAGGAAGAAGAAAAGGCCCAGAGAAGATGAAGGTGATGCCGATCGGTTAGGGAAGCGCCGGCTAAGGGAGAGGAGGAGTGCGTCAAGGAAAGCCTTGAAAATCAAACGGGAGAGAGAAGAGAGGAGATGGAAGAGAGAAAGACACGAGAAGAGGAAGAGGAGACGGAAACGGTCGTAGGATGATGCACCGTGAGTCTTAGTCCTAGGAAGGATGATTGTATCATAGTTAGAGAGGGACGGATGTCGCGGAACCAACAGGAAGGGTGTACCATAGTTAAGGAAATGTGAGTCGGGAAGGGGCGGTATGTTGTAACACCGAAAGGGATTTTGTACCTTAGTTAGGAGAGGAGAGCGTAGTTAGGGAAAACGGGCGTCTAGGGTCGTGGGTAACCGGAGGAATCAGGGGAAATGGGACGAGCTAAAATGAGGAAAGGGGAAATACATTGGGAAATGCTCGTCGGGGACGACGAGAATTGGGGTGTGGGCTGGTTGTCGGGCGGCTGCCTACCAGCCAAAGACTTTCCCTTTTGAAATCTATGAACTTTCAAACTTTTTTTTTTTTGCCTTTGCATGTTTTGGCGTATGCATGCGAGTGATTGAGAGGTCTGTGAATAATTTGGAGTCACTGGGTCTTCGTACTAACCCTTCGACAAGGTGGAAGGGCGGGACGAACTACGCTCACAAGCGGGCTGTGCGGATTCAAAAAGATGGGGATCCGCGACTCTAGAGCCAAAGATACGGACAACATCGATCGATTTTGGACCAGGTCGGGAAAAAGTCGGAACGAAGGGGATCTTAGGGGAGGCTGAAGGCGAGACACTACGGGCAGCCACGCAATGYCAAACGACGACCGTGGCGGGTCCCTCACAAATGAGCCCTCGGAGGTCCGCTATGGGCGGGTGCGAGTCGGCCAGGAGGAAACCAACCGTTCGAGGAAAGCGAGGGCCTGGCAGATGAGATCRGAAGGTCACAGGTACGTGAGGCCCTCTTCATGGTAAGAGGACTGGGCCGTATCARGTTGGTAGCTTCAACCACCAGAAAGAAGGGGGGGGTAYGGGCTTTACAAATATCTCTTTGAGCCCCACTCTAGCTCCCGGAGTGAATAAAAGGCGGGAGGACAGACCAAGAAAAACAGCTAACGAGAGGGGGAGCGCTACTTATGACGAAAAAGACAGGTGTGCGGGCAGTGCAGGAAGGTGGGGCCTCGTCTGATCTACGAAGAAAAAGGGGGCGGTACACGTGATAGGAAGTCGGATGCAAAAGGAGGAAACGAGGAGTCGAAGCAGCCAAGGAGTGACTRGGGTAGACARTTGGAGCAAGGGGGCAGCGCATGTTCTTTCTTGATAACTATCGGTACGGAGGAAATGTGAGTCGGAAGGAAGTCGCCCCAAGAAAGGATGTACTGGGGTCAAAAGCAAGGCCAGGTGCGGACGGTCGGTCGTTGGCAGACGAAGGGCTTGACGACTGACGTTGGGGGGGGGGATGGAGGAAAAAACTCGCGATCGAAAGGAGGAGGGGTGGGGGATATCGGAACTAACTAGGAGGGTGCTCGAAGCGGGAAGCTCAAACGTTTCGACCAAGAAAAGCGACGCGGAAAACGGTTGGAATCGGAGTAGCCTGCTCAGTTCTTGATAACCAGGACGCCGAGCGTGATCTCGCATGAGCTACGAATGAACCAGCGTCAGAAATAAGACCGAATTCATTCCCTAAGGTAACCAGTGATTGAGAATGCGGGCGGGAGACGGGCACGAAGCTGGTGAAAGAAAGCGGAAGGACTCGCGGCAAAGGGAGAGGAAAAGAGATGCTCGATCGAGCGGGAACGGGGAAAATTTTGGGAAAWTTTTGATACCGATTGGCGGGAAGGTGCTAATGTGGGGAAGGAGCGARAGGGAAAGAAGGAGAAGGAAGAGGATTGGGGAGGACAGAAGGGAGGAGGATCAAGGGAAGAGAGGGAAGGAGGTATAAATAAGGAGAAGGATTCAGAGAAAGGGGGGGGCGCACAAAGAGCACGATCAGGCGCACGAGAGATCCAGAGTACGCGCTGGCGAACAACGGGTTCGGACTGGACAGCGCTTCGCGTCCAAGAGAGAGTGAGAGAGAGAGAGAGAGAGACAAGAAAGAGCGATTACGAGCACGAGAGATCGGAAGTGCGCACCGGCGGACAACGGGTTCGGACCGGATAGCGCTTCTCGTCCAAGAGGGAGAGAGAGGGAGGGAGCGAGAGAAGAGAGAGAGAGAGACGAGAGAGAGAGAAAAGGGGGGGGGTCCGTGCTCGAGAGGGGGACGAGGAGAGCTCCGAGCTCGCATGCGCTTGCGTGAGAGGAAGGAGAGGTGAAGGAGGACCCCGAGCGCCTGTTCTCGAAGGAGAAGAAGCTAGAGGGAGGAGAAGAAGCGGGGCGTCGCAAAGGGGCTCGCGGCCACTGTTCGGTCGTGGTCTTGGCCACACCCAACGGCGGCTCGAAATACGAGAGCGCCCGCCCCGCTCTTCCAGTTCTGCTTCGTAACACTGGCCACGAGCTGCTGGGCGGCAGCTCGAGCTGAGGCTGCATGTTCCCGACTCCACGTTGTGATCGTCGGCTACGAGCTTCCGGCCATGTTCGACAGAACTTCGAGTCGAGACTGCGCGCTTCCCGGTTCAGCTCCGCGACTGTGATCTGGTATTCCGCGGCCATGGGCCGAGAGCTCCGCGTCGTGTAAGCTGTTATCGAACCACTTAGCTCGAGACAGACATTGGGGGAAAAGGGGAAGGAGAGGGCGAACCGGCTCGTCCTCGGCTATTGTCTGCGCACCCCGCTGTTTTGGTCTGCACGCCAACGTCGACTCGCCTTGCGCCTGGCTTCTAGCTGCCTGCTTTGGGCCCAGGTACTGGCTTGTACCACTTCATCGTATACAGCGCGCGCCCCTTGGTTCGCGCCGTCATTCTGCTCGGTCCTCGGGGGTTCGGCCAGTAGCGAGACCTGCCTCGCCTCTCTTAGCAGCGGGGCACAGCGGGACGGAGAAAAAGAGAGAA